CTCACAGAAATAAATTGTTTATTTCAGAGTAACCTTTACAGATTTATTTACGCTCTGGCAATTATATTAGGCACTTCAATATACTATTAATAACTCTGATAAGTAGCAAGAAAAATGCATAATTTATTTATACTTACTTGGTACTCCCAACTTGATTCAAGGTGTCATCTACAGATAAAAACTGTTGTCACTAATTTCAGTCCTTCTATATGGAATCATAGAATAGTTACGGTTGGAAAGGACCTTAAGATCATCTAGTTCCAAACCCCCTGCCGTGGGCAGGGACACCTCACACTAAACCATGCCACCCAAGGCTTTGTCCAGCTTGGCCTTGAACACTGCCAGGGATGGAGGATTCACAGCTTCCCTGGGTAACCCATTCCAGTGCCTCACCACCCTTACAGTAAAGAATTTCTTCCTTATATCCAATCTAAACTTCCCCTGTTGAAGTTTTAACCCATTACCCTTGTCTAATCACTACAGTCCCTAATGAATAGTCCCACCCCAGCATCCCTATAGCCTCTCTTCAGATACTGGAAGGCTGCTATGAGGTCTCCGTGCAGCCTTCTCTTCTCCAGGCTGAACAGCCCCAACTTTCTCAGTCTATCTTCATATGGGAGGTGCTCCTGCTTCCTGATCATCCTTGTGGCCCTCCTCTGGACTTGTTCCAACAGTTCCGTTTCCTTTTTTGTTGAGGACACCAGAACTGTATACAATACTCCAAGTGAGGTCTCATGAGAGCAGAGTAGAGGGGCAGGATCACCTCCTTCGACCTGCTGGTCACGCTCCTTTTGATGCAGCCCAGAATACGGGAGACAGTAGACATTTACAGAGATCATTATGCTGACAATCTTCTCTGTATTCCATGCTAATTCTACCTCTTTATTGTTTCTGAGTGTCATTCACTTATTACTGCGGATACAATCTCTGAAAATGCATTAGTGTTGGAAATCCCTATATTGCTGTAAATCAAGGAGTAATCCTTTTATTTTCCATGAGGTGCTATTTGAATAATATGCACTAGAAACCTCTGTGCCCCTGTTGCAAACAGCAACACATTTTTCTCCTCATTATTTGAAAGCATTCATCCAAAATTAAATGCTACCAAATATTAATTTCCTTAAGCCTGTTTTTCCTTCCTACCACTATATTTTGTTCAGTCATTACAATGAATATTCATATTCTTGACATAATTGGCATTATGTTAGCATAGCCTCACATCCTCACTGCTAATGCTCATATTCAGAATAGCTCTTCTCACCAACAGCTAATTTGAGTTAACCTGCTTTGCTGAAAATTGTTGTGCTCAGAGTTGGGCTAGAGCACTTCAAGATTATTAACATTAGGCATTAATCTGGCTTTTACCTGTTATGTTTAGAAGCGTTTGTGAAGTCCAGGCTGCTTCTTTTCTTTTGTAGATATTCCTTAGTATAAAATGACAAGTAACAAACCAGCCTGTTCTACAGTTTCTTCTGCCCTCTGCTGGATGCAATGCTAGAACAGCTCCAGGAATTCATCGTTTTTTATCATGTTGTGCCAGGTAAGGTGAAGAATTTAACCCCCTCTTTCTGCTCCCCAAGCAAAGACTGTTATTTATGTTCTCTTTCTTTCTCTCTCTCTCTCTCTCAGGTGATCATTTGTATCTGTGTACAGAAAAGAAAAGGAAAAACAAAACACCACCCTACTCCTTAAGAGAAAAAATGAAATAGATAACGGGTATTAGGTTTCAGCTTCGGCACATTTCTTACTCAGACTTCAGCATAAGTGTGTTGTCTCTCTGCAATCACTTTAAGCATAGGGGTACCACAGAGGTTAAACTCTGCATGCTTGCTCTCCACTTAATCACAGAAAAACTTGCACTGGACTGCCTCTCTGGAGGTCATCCTGGTCCAAGCCTCTTCTTGAAGCAGGACCAAAATACACTGTTGTACACAGTAATCATGAGTACCTACCCGAAGGAGATCACACCACCCTTCTGGTCATCTGTTCCGGTGTTTGCCCATCCTCACAGTGAAAATGTCCTCTTGTCATTATCCACAAGCTCTCAACCAGTTCATCATGCAGCCACCCCTTTGCACTTCCTCACTGCCTTCCCAGATTGTCTTTGTCAAAGAGCCCATACCCACATAGGCAGCACTCCGGTCATACAAGGTATCTTATCACACATGTCCCAACAAAAGCACAGCTCTGCAATCGTGCACAGGTTTCTAATTTGAACCCTTTGTTTCCCCTGCTCAAGTGTTTGTGTACAAGCACTTGAAATGGACCCCATCGCAGTGTTCATACAGAAAGAAGTACAAGACCCTCCCCGTCCTGCTGTGACTTCCCCACTGCTCCCTGTGCCTTCAGTTCTCTGTAGGTTATAATAAACTTCCCCCAGCTTATGTAGTTTCAAGCTGTCCTCACTGGGTTTGAGGCCTGACAAAGACACTCTTGCCACACCTCATTAGATGGATCTTGCTCCTGATTTGAAGTCCTTGCACCTCCAAAACAACTGCATGTGTGCAGAAGCCATGCTCCTCTGTGATACCAGTCATGCACCAAAGTGTTGATCCACTGAAGGTACCCACTCCTGCCCAAATCTCTCCCTCTCACTAAAAGAACTGAGAACACTACTGGTGCCACCTCCCACGACACACTGCTGGTAAAAAAAACACATCTTTTTTTCCCAAAAGCCTATTATGCTGTACCCTTGACCACGCCATGTATGCATAGTCTCTCATGCAGGGGCTGGCATCTAAAACCAAATTAAAAACCTGTAACCCTAGTGGCAAATTTCATAAGCATCAGCAAAGACAACAGTATATTAAATATGATCTTAATTTGTGACATGCCTTTGAAGCTATGCTACATGCTGAGAATGCTGACACCATGTAAGTGGCATGTTCTATGCCCTTATTGGGACTGCTCTGCATTCAAAATGAACCTCCAATCTGTCTCAGATAGAGAATCCAAATCAAAACCAAGTCATATTGCTGATGCAAATTATCAAGGTAGGAAATTTTAAAACTGCAAGAGGTTTGCCTCAAAGTAAGTAAAACAAATCCCCATTCTTATTTTTAATGCATTTTGATTTCTTTTGAAAGATTCCCAACTAGAATTTCCAGACATCTGTTTACTCTCATGTCGCACATACGCTTGACAATACGAAGTCAAAATTTCTTTCCATGACTCACCACTGCAACCAAGCTGAACCAAAATCATCAGTTCTAATTATGACAGGTATGTTCTTTGCTGCTGATACGTCTTTTTGCCTATTTGCATTTCTGCTGAAGCCACTGGTGAGAATGCTATTTATTTAGTTAACTTTCTAGAGATCATTTCCTTTTGTGCAAATGTAATTAACGTCAATCTGGACTGTTTTTACCTACACAATGTACTAAAATATTATTTATCTAATGACTTTTCTTCATCATGACCAACTTAAGCATGTAATCTGTGCGTCGTTCTTTACTGTGCTGTTATTTCTCTTGAATTCTGCTTATTAAGTTTTATTGCTATGCTTTGATGTTTTCGAGGTTACAAAATAAAATAGTCCTTCACTAACAAACTTCTTTCTAACCTGATGGGTATGTACAGAGAAAACAGGATACAATGTTAACCAGACATAAGTATGATTTTGATCTCATTGGATTAGTATAAATTTTTACTGCTTTCCTAGAAATTATTTCGGATTTCTACCCATGATTGGTAAAATCTGATCAAGAATATCTGTATAGCCCAACTATCCTGCATGCTGCCCACACTTTGATGGCAAAAAAAAATCACTACTTTCATAAGAGTTAATATATATATATATATAAAAAAAGGCTTTTTTATGTAAGATGAGAAACCTTACACTATAAGGAGATAAATGAAAACTGAACTGAGCCACTTTTTATGTGGGAAGAGGACGAGGTGATGCCAGACATGGACATATTCTAGCAGCCTGAGTCCAAACTTACACTTTTAACACCACTGGGGCAAAGTAGGGCAACTAAAACAAAGCAACATTTTCAGGATTTCTAGGAAGCTTTAGGACTCAAAACCATACAGACCAGGTGAAAGATTCCCCATAGCCTTCTGCAAAGGAGGCAGCTACTGCAGGATCACAGTTACACAAACATAACCCTCTTTAAAAAGGCTTGGGGTGGAGCTAGGAAATTATAGACCAGTTTGACCTTGGTGGCAAGACCAAGGACCTTAGGCAAGATTCTAAAGATATTAATAAGAGATGAGATCACAAGGAACACAGTCTGCGCAAAGTGGTTAAAGGACATAATCTACTTGGATTTCCAAAAAGTACGTGACATAAAACTGCAAAGTAGATTAATGCACAACGGTAGCAAGAGTAACGGAGGAGGTGTCATCCTTGAATGAATAATGATACAATCTGCAGCCACACTCTCAGAGGATGTATGTTACAAAGCCAGATTCATTTGACATACAGGCTGCAGATGTACTACTAACACATTAAGGCTAATTTGCTGTCCTAACGCTGCTGGTCTCTTAAAGATACAGTGGACACATTTTGATCTCAGTTTCACTACTGAAGTCAAAAGAATTGCTCAAGGTACAAAGACAAGACAGACTGGAATCTACCCTAGGCAACTTGCCTTGGCTTAGTGTGTTTCCTGTATTTTGTTAGAGCCAGGTTTTTTGCCTGTTACTCCCCCTCCTCAGTATATTGCACCATTTTTTTACTTTAATGCCTCATCAATACAGGTGGACTGTTTGCCAGCACAGATTTACCACTCAAGGCTATATATATACATATATAGTATCACCTACTCCTGTCAAACTAAATTATTTTGATTTGTCAGTATTGATTTGAATTCACAACAGTGTAGATGACAGAAGTATTCAGCTCTTCTTTTGCAGCACTAAGTTCTTTGATGGCCACTGTCAGGAATCCAATTCTGGATCCTTTGTATGTTTACATCAACCAAAGAAAGCTGTTCCACTAAAATAAATTTAAAATTCTAGCAATAAAAGGATTAAATGTGTTTTTTTTGGCCAGATCATCTGAAAGTCAACTGCATCAATTACAAGAGAGAATTTGGCTTCTGTAGCTTATTTACTGCTGACCTCTTGTAAAGTCAAAAGGAAGTTCCAACCATTTACAAGCTGACATATATAAAACATGAATACATTGGGATGTTGTAAGTCTGCTTTGGAAACCTTGTCAACATCAACAGGTCAGGCTAATATCAGCAACTGCTGTGATAGTTGTTCAGAACAGTCATTCCTTTTTCCAAGCGTAAAGCTGAAATGGCAAGACAAAGCTGTTGCGTGCACTCGTGCTGTTCCTTCAGTTGGTTATATTTATCCCATTACTACTGGAGAGCTTGGCAGTTAGCTGAAGCACCATGATGAACCAGTTATTGATAGCAGGGAAGCCAGCTCTGTTCCAGATTTGTCATGTGAACATGATGCTGTGTGCAGTGGGCTGTAATATCAATGAAAGGATCAGAAACAAGTCAGCTGATCACTGACGATTCAGTCACTAAAAACTACCACACATCCACTACCGAAACTCTCCTGACAGGAAGAGGCAATCATAATGCATACTTCTGGAATTAGGAGAGACCGCCAGCAGGAAAAGGTCCAGAAGTGTGTATACCAAAGCAGTGATGAATCTCCAAGTGTAGCTGGGTAACTGAGAATGAAATTTGACTCAAATCTGTTGACAGCCATGCACGTACAAGTCACAATGGCATTCAGATGTGTTGTGTGGTGAGTTTGGTTTATTTTGGTAAGAGTGACGTTTCAAAAAATGGTTTAAATTTGTTTTGGACTCTATCAGTACTTCGCAGTAAAAAGTTCTACAAAATTCTCTCTCCATCATAGAGAGAATATAAACCCAGTCCTCGGATTTAGCAAACCTGTACAACCTGGTTTGGGAAAAATGCCTGTTTCAGCTATTTACATCTACCTTTTTGCTAATCATGTTCCCCTTTTGTTGTATCTCTATCAGCTGAGAATTTCACACATCCCTTCCCAAATGGAAGAGAAAGCAAAAGAAATTATGTACGGATCATGTTCCTTGCCCATGCCACAAATTTATTGTAAAACTCATCATAGGCAGCTTTAGGGCTCACAGTCCACGACCCTTTCTTATGGATGACATGCACTATAAAAAAGAACCTTAGCTTTTATTTTTAATTATGTCTCCAGTTTTGTCAGAATAGTCACAGGCTGTTAGAAATCAAAAGAAAATAATCTAGTTGCCAAGGGACTCTTAGAGATGACAAATAAACACAAAACAATCTTTCCTCCCTGCAAACATTTAAAATCAGCAAGGGAGATGTCTCTCTCCCACTACACACTGGAGGCTGGTATTTCAGCTTCTTCCTTTTCACTGGAAGCCTTAGCTAATTTCCTGGCTAAGGAACACCTTCAATGGCAACACCTTCTTGACTGATACTTCGAAGTTTTTGGTCATTCAGATTCAGCTGGGTTAGAAAGAACATGGACAGAAACGTGTGTACAAACTAATGTGGCAGGGGAACTTAGAAGATGTAACTATGATACTTAAGAGGGATACAATTGCTCTACTACACTACTGAAAGAGAAATCCAAATTCATGGATTCCTTAAAGCAGAGAGGAAATTACCACTGGACAAAGAAATGGCACAACATTTATCTATGATGATCTATCCTAAGACAGAGAAAATGAGAAAAGCCAGAAAGAATAAAGTTTACTGAAATGATACACGAATATCCAATGCATGAGGAGTCATCTCACATGCCAGGAGCTAGCACAGAGTGTAAGACATTTTTGGAGATTCATGGCTGAAACAATTTTGCTTTCCCATGCATGAATGGTCCTTTCTACTCTTCTGGACAACACAGTTCACCTCAACATGTTAACAAAAATATAAACAAAAGTGATTTTTGACCCCATGATAAAAGCATTTTACATTGGTGCCAAGCTCTGCTGAGTTTTATTTTTTCTCACAGATTCTGAATTTTATGCAGTTATGACATCAAACCCTTGAACTCTGTGGGCTGGAGCATATCAAGCCAGAATCCAGACAGCACAGAGGCAGCATGAAAATACTGCTGCTCTTGTAAGGGATTCTGGGCGGTCAGTTGGTTTCAGGGGCATTAGTTTGCCATGGTAAAATCTAGGTAAGTCTCTCAGCTTACACTGAGAACCGAGAGAACTGAAATGCAAATGCAAATTGACAGTTTGTGTTTCTCTGATGTCTGGGGATCCTGTCATTAACAACTAAAAACCACACAGCAGTGAAAATTTGCACTGAAGAGAAAGCCCAGTAAAAAAAAAATAATTTACCTATAGGAAGAAAAATATGCATGCTTAATTCTCTTTCAACTGTGCCTTCCTCTTGATTCTCAGATACCAAGGGTCTGAGCCTATGTACACCAACTCAGGGGAAAATCTTCCAGCTACATTAGGTTATAAGTGTCCACCCTAAAAATCTAAAAATAAGACCAGCTGTGATGGATTAAAGAGTTAATTTCTCTACACAACATACTTTTTCTATAATTCCTTGAAAAATAAAAATAATCAGTGCTGGTTCCATATGAGTATTGCCCCAAAATCTGACTCATCCTTCAACAAAACCAAACCAAACAACAAATCACACAGCTTTTGCAAGTCCTTGCAAGCTTATTGACTTTGGTACCATTTTTGTCTGAGTGAAGCTGCAGAGCTGACAGAATTCAATAGCACAAGCTCACTCCTGGAACTTTACCAGCTCCCTCTGCGTACACCTTGGCAGACACATCTTCTGGCTGAAAGGCTGCAACAAGATAGGAAACAGAAGCGGTAAAAATCAGCCTCAGCCTCCCCCATGCTGATGGGTCCCAGAAGATTTATGTCGTTGCTAAGAAAGGCACAGGGCCAGGAGTCTTGTGAACCCTCCACTCCAGGGATACTAGTGGAGTTTTGTCTACACTTTGAATCTGGCTGCCTTCCCATGCAAACGATGCATAAGGATTAGCTTCTGTGCCAAAGTAAGTGCAAATAATTTTGCCTTGACTTGAATGCTAAGTAGCAGACCCTCTGCAAGTGAGGTTTTAAAGGTAATTTTTAAAAGCAGCTATTACTTTAAATTTCATTGTTCTTTCTAATTATTGTAAAACTGAATGGCTTTCATTTGAAGCCAGATACAATGTAGCCTGCTAACTCTGGGTGACAGTTTTGGAGTGGGGTCCTTTTTTCCAAGGATGACTATTCCAGCTGTTATACTGCTGAAAATTTATTTCCAAAGACATATGTTGACTCAGAAACAAAACATTTTCTTGGGGACAAGGCAGATGAAAAACTAACTTTCCATACCTGTAGACCGCTTAAAGCACAGTCTGCAATAGTAATGCCATCAGCCACTGCCTAATATGCAAAATGTAATGCACGCAAAGAACATGAGTTTGTGGTTTATTGCCATAAAGGATCTTGTGACTCCCCTGTGGCAACATAAATTACAAATAGACAGCTATCTGTGCCTGGAAATGGGTAGCTACATCACTTTACATATTCTTCAAAGTGTGCGTGAAGAAAACAATTCTAGGGAGAGCTGAAAAATAGGCTTCCTTATACGGACATTATTATTAATGACAAGAGAAATATTCACCCCAATTTTTTTACTGTGTCACCTAGTTCCCTGATATTATTTCTCTCAAATACGGACTATTAATTTTTAATTCTCCATTAATCTCAATATAATAGTAAACATTTTCTTTCTTTTTAACGTGCACTCACTGCCAACGTGCACTCACTGGCACTCACTGCGCCAACTATTATGTTGGCACAGACTTTGACGTAAAGGAAAATACATTGCCTGGAAAGGACATTCCATTTCTCCAGTGGAAAGACGCATGTCAGATGAAAGGTTATTTAAAAGGTGTTAGTTCCCTGAATTATGTCTCTCTGATACTCAGCATTCATCTTTTTTCTTTTTTATTCCTTCTCTCCTGTGAACTTTGCCTGGCTTTTCAAACTACTCCCCTGAAGGAAATCACCCACCCTGATTTTCCCTGGTTATACAACTCAGGAGAATTGCTAAAATTCTCTTTCCTTTCTTCTGCTTGTTCTTATTCTTGCAGTACCTGACAGAAGGTTAATAAGAACTTGTTTCCATGCTCTGCTAACCTGTGTAAAGAAAAATACAAAGGCTGAACTGGGACAGCCTTGAACAGTACAGAACAAAAGTATCTAAGTTAAGTCTTACATACAAAACCAACAGCAGTAAGTTCTTCCTTGTCTTCAGAGATTCTACTTTTCATTAAGAAGAATAATGGTGGACTAAGTTTGAGGAATGCTTAGCTTTAAAGAGAGCAGAAGGTGTTGAATCGTTATTACGAGTCTCTCAGTGAAGATGCTTTTCCATAAACTAGTTGGAATTTCCTAAAAATGATCTTATTCAATGTTAATCTAATTCCACCTGGTGACAGCAGTATTTGTTTCCAGTTTTCATATCCTTAATACTACATCCTTTTACTAGCTTTTCCCAAACAAACAGTGGTAAGTGGATCAAACCAGAATCATAACTACTTGATGCTGTGTGGCTTGATTCATTGATTGCTTTGAAGTTATTATCAAGGAATATGTAACAGCTAGCAAAAGGACTTCAGCAGTGGTAAACCACACTGGAAGTTTTAGAAGCAGCTGCTGCTATTGACCACAGCATCAGGCAGAAAGAAGGGGCAATATTTTTCAGCTAGCTGGAGATGAAAGAAGTCCTGCTTGGAAACTAATGCAGCTCAGCAAACAACTGAAACAGTATGTATGACCTGACATGACTCTGAGAAACAGAAGCTATGTGCCCCAGGTCTACATAAGACACATTTGTAGCCAACTCCACAAAATCTTGTGTTTTCATACAATAGCCTGCAGTGCCATAGTCTGCAGAAGGACACAGTACTACAAGCACTAAAGTCATATTGTGAACAGTCCTTGAGAACCACCAATACTGTTTCATGCTCTGCTCTGGCCTTAGATTATCGTTAGACCTTTACAGAATTCACAGATGTCACAGGCTGCTTGCTGCCCCAAAATATTTTAGTAAGGCTGAAACTAAACATTCCATAAGTGGGCTATAAAATACAATCAAAACAAACACAGAATGAAATCTGTTGCATTCTGGTTAATGAGTAGGATCCCATGTAAGTATTTGGCTTTTATTAATATCCTGCAGCATGGTTGCAACTTCCTGTAGTATTACAGAACATGGTTTGAAAATCATTTTCTATCATACCTGCATATCTTTCTATGAATATAACAAAGATATCAATAGGAAGTATTTGCATCCCAGTCAAAACACACTGTTCCTCCCCTCTGGAAAAACCCAGAGAGCTTTAACACTCTTTATGCCTCTCTTGCCCAACAGATATGAGTAGGAAAGCAAGAAAGAACCTAAGAAATATTTGATCCTGAGACAGCAGTGCTTTTTATATGCTCCACAGAACTTTTATGCATTCCCTTGAGAACAGGTATTTCATTTTTACAGATGGGGTTTTTCTGACCCAATCATTCTGACTGCTCTTTTACTAGCAACCATATCTGATGTGATCTGGTAATCTGCTATCTGCCCATATTCCTGTTCACAGGATAAGCTGACATTGAGTGATAACTGGGCTGCTGACAGTATGTGATGATGACTTTAGACAAGCAGTCAGTACAGTTCAAAAGTACTAACTCCCTTTCAAATGTCACACCTCAGTGAAATATCTGGGAACTGGAAATACCACCCTGATAGATCTGATTATAGGAACTGTCGCAAAAAATGTTACTCTCATCTTCAATATACTGCAAAACCAAAGTTAAGAAATGTGATCTTCTATCATAATTTACAAATGTATGTCTTTTACCCTTAAGATTTTCAAAATCCTTAAAAAGCAATTTTACAAATCACATACCAATCTAGGCACATGTATATAACACATGTAGGTCGTAAATGGCAAAATGGACTTACACCACAGACATTGTGTCCCCTGCGGAAGTACAGCCACACCTAAGATAAAAAAGGACAGCTAATTTTATAGAATACAGTAGTCCCACACAATAGCATTGGCACAGAAGGAGCAAATGACGTCATTCATTTAAATTCCTGCAATCACAACGAAACTCTGGGTATTTAGAAACTGGAATTGACCAGAGCACAAAAGCTAATGGTAATGAAAAATACCCAGAAAGGAACCAATTATATTTATCACCCAAATTATAAATACGGTCTTCATGTTGCTGTAGAAAACAAACCCTATTACAAATAATCTTTGAATTGTATTATTAAAGCCTTTGAACACTAACAAGAAATATGCATGCTCATAAAAGCACACATGCAACCATGTCTTTTCACTTCCCTCACACCACATATCCCACTCACTCACACACCACAACACTTACTCTGTATGTTACTAGTGAGTTGATTCAGCACTCTTTCAGCACCAAGTAGCTCTACTGACAGCTATGCCAGGGCTGCAGCAGTGAAGTTGACTGTGAAGGAGTACTTGAAACTTTCGCTAAGTTTTTAAGGATGCTTACGGAGAACCTGCATGCCTGTAGAACCTAGTTCTTCCAAGTCAAAGCCTAAAGAAGTGTAAAGCAGCAAACTTAGTTATGGAAAATGCAAAGAGAAAAATGGGGACTTCTCTATAGCTTTTCTTCTAGGAGAGGGAAAGCAAACTAACATACGCATGCCCCGTATTAGCTCTAATGCTCTTCCCAGTGTCTGTGTTGCACTATGTGTTAGATGGCCGCATGCAAAGAGTTGTGGTCAATGGCTCGATGTCCAGCTGGAGATCAGTAACAAGTGGGGTCCCTCAGAGATCAGTGTTGGGACCAGTCTTATTCAACATCTTTGTCAGCGACATGGACAGTGGGATTGAGTGCACCCTCAGCAAGTTTGCTGATGACACCAAGCTGTGTGGCTCGGTTAATACACTGGAGGGAAGGGATGCCATCCAGAGGGACCTTGACACACTTGTGAGGTGGGCAGATGCCAACCTTATGAAGTTTAACCATGACAAGTACAAGGTCCTACACCTGTGTCGGAGCAATCCCAGGCACAGCTACAGGTTGGGCAGAGAAGAGATTCAGAGCAGCCTTGCGGAGAAGGACTTGGGGATGTTGGTCAATGAGAAAATGAACATGAGCCGGCAGTGTGCGCTCACAGCCCAGAAAGCCAACTGTATCCTGGGCTGCATCAAAAGAAGCGTGACCAGCAGGTCGAAGGAGGTGATCCTGCCCCTCTACTCTGCTCTCATGAGACCTCACCTGGAGTACTGTGTGTAGTTCTGCTGTCCTCAACATAAAAAGGACATAAAACTGTTGGAACAAGTCCAGAGGAGGGCTACGAGGATGATCAGGGGGCTGAAGCACCTCCTGTATAAAGACATGATGAGAAAGTTGGGGCTAGTCAGCCTGGAGAAGAGAAGGCTGCATGGAGACCTCCTAGCAGCCTTCCAGTACCTGAAGGGGGCCTATAAGGATGCTGGGGATGGACTCTTCATTAGGGACTGTAGTGATTAGACAAGGGGTAATGGGTTCAAACTTAAACAGGGGAAGTTTAGATTGGATATAAGGAAGAAGTTCTTTCCTGTTAGGGTGGTGAGGCACTGTAATGGGTTGCCTAGGGAAGCTGTGAATACTCCACCCCTGGTGGTGTTCACAGCCAGGCTGGACAGAGCCTTGGGTGACTTGGTTTAGTGTGAGGTGTCCCTGCCCATGGCACAGGGGTTGGAACTGGATTATCTTAAGGTCATTTCCAACCATAACTATTCTGTGATTCTATGATTCTAAGTTCTAAGACATCTTCATTTTCAGCTCAAGTTCCTGATCCATGATCCTAGTTAAAAGAGTAAACATTTTATACTGTTCTCTCAGAGTCACACACTGACACTAATTTGGAATGGAAAGATAACCAGGATATCCAATAGAGTCAAACAGTTTTACCACAAAAGTATAAAGGCTGATGCACAGGCCCCAAAAGTTTTGACTAAATATGGAATCTAGCAGATGAACTGTGCTCTAGAAATTGTTTTTTAGGGCATAGAATTTGCCTTAAGATGAGGAAAGGCCAAGAATACATTCTTTACAATGCAATGAAAGACAGAGAAATGAGGTGGTCTTATAAATCAGCGGTATAGGAATTATTAAGGAATAGCTAGATGGCTTGAGAAATTTAAACTGATGTATCAGGACTAAAAGTTTCTATTTAATTCTGTAGGCAGAATTAAAATTGTTATACAAAGAATATCCTTCACTGTGAGCTCTGGTTCTATAAGCTTCCACTTAAATAATGCTGCTTAGACCCTTAAGTCTGCAACTTCTTGTACACAAGTGAACTATTACAGCAGTCCACAGGATTTTGACACTAACACAGGGTATTATCACAGGCCTACAGACTACTCTGTTTAGAAGTCATCCCAAGAGAAAACCATCTTCCACATGGAAAATGCTAAGAAAAAAATGGCACCTCCTTACTCTAGGCACACATTCCTGGCTTTATTACAATTATATCAACTACTGCAAGTACACGAAGACCAAAAAATGTTACTTCTTTTTGTAACAATGCACCATCAAACGGGTGTATTTCAGTGACAAAACACACATTACTGACCACAGTGTAATAGGGAGAAAGAACTCAGTTTGACTTTTTAGATTCAAGACTTAGTTTACAGTGCCTATATTTAAAAAAACTGCACTTTTGATCTGTAAATAGAACTAACTCAGTATAGGATCTATTCAGACAGAAAACATACAGACTACCAGAAGGCCATTTTATCAAGATACTGTCCTGGCTGCAATTCTTAGGAACAAACATGCAGAAAATTGCTTTTTTTCCAAAATAGGAAACTGGGCCTCTTAGATTGCTGTTCATAAAGAAAAAAGGGGAGCAGAAATAACTACATTTTTGTTCTGCTTAAAATGAATGTAGCATGAAATTTAAATCCCAACCTGAGGCCTTTTAAACACAGACAGTAATAACTGCCATGAGCATTAAATTTAAAAAAGTGAAAATAAAAAAATCACACAAAAGCCAGGGGCATTTTCATCAAGAAGTCATTACGGAACTAGAGTCAACAGTTAATTCCACTTGACTCTGAGTTACTGCCTGAGCTGCAAGTATGGAAGTCTAGTTATCGAGCTTTTCAATTCATATATTGCATTTTTTAAAACACAGAAAAAAAAAGGTATTTTAGAGCACTGTCTGATACACTGGCTCCCACACAGCTGTCCAAGAACTGCCCTGATTACTCAGTGCCAGCTCTCCTTGTTTCCAGCTGCTAAATCCCATTAGAATCAGCTAAAAATACATGAAATACTTTCCTAATACTATTTTTCCGTAAAATCAATTGTTGTAGTTGTCATATGGATAAGAGAAGACAGAAGAACTGGATCAGCAATAAAATGAACTCCTTTCAGAGATGTGTTCAGCAAAGTTAAAACACATGCAGTCTTTGATTTCTGGGGTTGTCAGGCACCTAATATACATAGGATTTTCTTCCTAAATCCTATAGCAGAGCACTGTCTCTGCTGTGATTAACCGTGAAGTTTCAAGACTGCATAATTTGCCAGAAGCACAATCCTGCTCTCAAATCTGTGTCTAGCTAAGGGCAGACAAAAAATACAAAGTCCCTGCAATTTCTGTTGCAATGTTCTGCTTTGAAAGTGTGATGAGTGCAGACAAATGAAGCAATTGCTAGATGATAGTCTTCCATTACACTCTATTGCAGAGGATTACAGAGGAAAAGCATCCTTTCCAAACAAAAGAAACAAAAAAAACCAGACTGGCTGCTGCTGAACTGAAATGGACCCATGGAGCTCACTGACATGATTCTGAACTGGTTAGCCAATACAATCTGGAGCTGCAGTACAGGGGGTTTACAGGGAGACAGTGAAAAACAGTAGAGGAAAGCCTTGACTCGGATGTTGATTTGAAAGATTTGGAACCAACAAATTCTAGGATAAATTAAGACAGTAACTGGATAATATGAAACACACTGAACAAGCCAGGGCCAGTATGTGTAATCCAGGGCACAGAATGTCTCATGTGCGTAAGGCTCAAAAGCCATACAAAGGGCTGTTTCTCATATTTTAAGAGAGACTAGAGCTATTGGAACTATCCATTGGGTCTAAAAGCATGTACTTATATTTGGAAATTATGGGCTTTGCTGGGGAACGTGCACTTCGGCATCTTGATATTAATTGTAATCACAGGATAAGAATCAGTCTCAGATAACAGTACTGTTGAACTGAGATCCTGTTTACTTCTGGTTTTGCATCTTGCCTCTCCAGATATGCTGGTCAGGCTTGGCTTGTTTCTGATATAGGGATTAGGATACAGGAATTCCTTAATTAACTTCATGCAATCTCTGACACAGGAGCCAAGGCCTCTGCATACAGAGGATGACATGGAGAGTCTGTAACAGCAATACTAGATCACCCCTTCACTTCCCTGTTCTCTACCAGAGAGACAGAGGTGGTTACAGGGTCTCTGCAACTGCTGATTAATTTCAGTGCAATGGAGTTCCTATGGTTCTGAGGAACAGCAGTTAAGTAAGAAGAGAAAATAACCCATGTAAGACAGATGCCAGCTAAATATTTGAACGCAAAAAAAGCAGGCAACCTGTGACAGTGTTTTACCACCTTCATTATAACAATTTCTTCCTCATGTCCAGCCTGAATCTCCCCTCCTTTAGTTTAAAACCATCACCCCTCGTCCTATTGCAACAGGCCATAATTAAGTCTGCTCCCATCTTCCACATGGCCATTTTTTCAGTATTGGAAGGCGGCAAATACAGTGTGTCCGCACAACATACTGCAGACGATAATACTCGGAAGTTTCCATAACCGCCTAACCACGCTGAGGAGGTGGCTCCTGCCAAGCGGGCAGCCCTCACAGGGGTGTTAACTCCCGTTCGCTGCCTCTCGCTCCCGGATCCCGGGTGCTCACTTGGCCTCCGAACCTTACTTCCCCACTCGCCAGCACCTCTGTACAGCATCACGGCGGCCACCCCCCACCTCTCTGAAACCGACTACGGGGAACCTTTATTAAGCGCGCTGAGAAAAAGCTCCCAATGCGGGAACAGGCAGAAGAAGGAACAGAGACTGCAGCGACCCAGCACCGCCTCCTCCCTATACACACCCCCTCACCACAACGCTGCCTCCGTTCAAAGCCAACACGCCCCACGCCGCTAAGTCTCGCGAGGACGTAGCTAGGCGTCGCGCGCGGGCCGCGCCATGTCGGAGCCTGGTCGGCGCAGGCCGGGCTCCTCCCTCCGGCTCGCGCCCGGCGGCCTCAGCGCCCCGCACTGAGCGTGCGGCGCAGCCGGGCGATCCCGGAAGCGCTTTCCGGCCGCGCGGCGCGCTCCAGGACCCCCTTCCCCCTGTTCCCTCCCCCCCATCCCCTCTCAGAGATCAGGTGCCACACGGAGATTCCCCCTCCCCACTTCCCTTTCCCCTTCCCCCTGCCCCGCTCCAGGCGCCCTCACCGGGGGGGCCCTCCTTCCCCTCTCCCGTTCCTTCTCTCCCCCACCTCCCCGCCGGCTTATCGCTCAGGAGGAGCGGGGGGGGGCCTCGCGGGGCACCTCCTCGAGTGCCGTCCACCACTCCCCCCCACGACCCGCAGCCTTCCCCTACGTTCGCCGTCCCAGAGGCCCGGGGCAGAGCCGAAGGGCCGGGCGGGCGAGCGGGCATGCAGCCGCCGCCGGAGCCGAGCCCCCAGCGCAGCACGGTGAGGGGGCAGGCCCCGGGACAAGGGTGGGAAAGCAGCGGGAGAGGTGCGGGGGGGGGGTGAATCTGGGGAGTGGGCAGGGCTGCCCTGCTGCCCGGGGTGTCCCATCACGGACAGAGTGTTTGTCGGTGGGAGTGATACCCCCGCGCTGTCCCCCTCGCTCCAACTGGCTGTGGGGTGAGCTGCACCCCCCCTGGACAGATGGGGTAGGGGGGAGACGGGCTGCCGCGGGGAGAGTGAGCTGGCGTGGGCCGGGGGTGCCCGCGGAGTCGGCCGGGGCAGGGGTGTGGTGATGGGAGGGTGCTGGTGTGGGTGCTGGTGTTGATCCTGGCGCTTGTTTTGCTGCCGTGCTCCCACGCAGCGAGCAGGGAAAACTTTGGTCTTTGTGTTTTGAAGCCCGTCGGAAAGGGTGTCTGCCCGGAGATCCTGTGCGGGAGTCTGCTTAGCAGGGGCTGTGATGTGTGCTGGGCCGCAGATGCTGCTCTTGCTGTGTAGCAAAGGCATAAAAAACAAGTAAACTCACAGGTGAAAGAGCTGCCACTGCTTCTTCGGCGTGTTGACTGCGATATGACGATGCTGCTGATGTGGCTTGGCTTCTGCCTTAGAGTTAGAAGGCCCTCAAAGGTAGCAAGGCCTTAGTTATGTTCTGTCCAGAGTCTTGTCTTTAGGTCAGATTTGAGGTCTAATCCGTTGTGTTGGCTGTTGGGAAGAATGGCTTGGGTCTTATTTTGGTTTGTTTTTTAAATATAGGTGGATATGGTGAAAGGAGGCTACTTTTATGGCTTGATACTATTGCAGTACTAGCGTGTGTGGTTGGTGTGTTTTCCCCTTGTTCAAACACGACTTGTAATGTGATATTGGCTGTTCATTCCCTTGCTTTAGCAAGGAGAAAACAAGAGGAAAGGCATTTGCTTAGGTGGCTTGAGAATAACTATATTTGGGAGTTTGGTAGAGAATCCCTATCACCAAAAATAGGGAATGGCCTGAGGATGTCACACTGGAAGGTAATGGAAAATCTTGAAAGCAAGGTACTATGTTCAGGAAAATATGTGTAAAACTGTCTTTGAAGGTTTCAGTGATAACTAATTTGAAGATGCTGTTAATAGTCTATTGATGTCTTTATAGCTGATGAATACAGTAAATATTAGATAAATAAATTAGCTTAAAAGATAGCTATTCATAGTGCTTTTATGATTTTTTTTATAAGTACATTTTAGGATTTTTTTCAGCTTGATATTGTGCAGTAGGTTTCCTTTCCCCCTCTTCCGTGCCAACCCATCCTGCTGATGTATTGATAGACGCCTGTTTAGTGCTGGTGTTCATGTTACAAAATTGAGTAGTAATTGTACATAGGCTCATGTTCTGTAGCAGGTCCACAATGGACAAGTTTGGTTTTCAGAGAGCTTTACATGAAAGAACTCTTAAAATTTACAGGTAGAGCCCACATGGTCAAAGGTCAGTGTCTGTTCTGTTAGCTTTTCTTTTCCAGATCTGGGAGAAGAGCAATACTTTCTTTTGCCCTTTTTCCAGTATATTTTCAGTTAACATATTTCATGTAAAAAGAAGAAATGTTACATTCATTTCCTCTTAGTAGTGAGAGACAAACAGAATTCTTAAAAATAAAGTATTTCACAACATTTGTTAAAGCCTGCCCTTTGTCCTGTCTTGTGAAAGGTGTTAGTTGATAGCAGCAATCTGAAGAATGCTGTAACAGCCGCTATTAATGTATGTATAGACTGTCTCAGTTCATCCATAAAATTACTGATGTGTCAGATTTTACACACAGTAGTAAAGAATAACTAAATCAGCACGTAAGCCTCTCTTTAATCATAAAACTTTTGGTTTAGGTACAGTGAGTTGGATAAGTGTGGTGGATGCTTAGTATGAAACTATTATATTGTGGTTTTGTCTGGCTTGGGTCATAACCTTTACTATAAATGATTGCAGATAAATGTAAACAGGGTATGGTGAGATCTGTGTCCATTCTTTCTTGTTTCCTGGATCTCATCAAATCTTCTTTTTCCTTTCATTAGCTGTCATCTCAAGGAAGGCAAGACAAGTTGAATAGGTGTGAAAATGTGTCTTCTCTTCCACCCAGCTCTGGTGGTATGCCTGTGCTGGTATCTGTCTGCCGAGTTGCAGAGGAGTAATAGTAAACAGTAATCCTAATGGTAACGGATTTCTTTGAAGTCATCCAAGACAATACATTAATGTGATTCTTAAGGTTAGTCAGTAATAGCTTGTCTCTTTCTGTACCCTCTCAGAAATTATGTAGTGCTTAAATGAAGTTTTGGTTGCACTGGACTGTATATGCTTCCTCCTGGTTTGTGTTATGATTCATTTTGTATGTATTTTTAAATGGCATAACTAGCCTCAAAGTATGACCTGCAAAAGTATTCTTGGTTGGGGTCGGATTTACCTGTTTCTTTATGTACTGCAGTACATAATAAATATGAAACTTAAGATGTTTTTTTGAGTTATTTTTCAAATGGCTGATTTTTTAGTGGGATGATAGTTCAGATCTTTACTTGTAGAGCTGCAGTGTTTCAGTAAAATCGCTAATACTACAAGTAGAAGCCAAATGTTGAGTAAATGACCAAATCCAGTAATTTTTGGGTAGTATCAGCTCTATTGTGTACGCTTAGTCATCCAACTCAACTCTGGTATGACACATTCTGCTCTAGGAGTGTCTGTATGGTGCCGCTTTTTCTACTGCTGTAAGCTGAAGTAGGTGTAGCACCTGGTAAGTATGTACCTGTGTACACACATAAATGTATGTGCAGTGAGTTATTTTTGTTACATGGTGCCTTTATAAGGCAAGTGACAAATGGAGAGTGAAACTAACAGTTTGTACAAAGCCTCATGCTTTTTCATAGGCACATTTTGGACTAAGTGTTTTAATTTACAAGGTAGAAGAAATAACTGTGACTTGCGGTTTTGCAGTATTTTTTCCTGTTCCTATACTGTGTTTTCTCAAACAGAAAAGTAAGGCTAAACTGGAAATTGTTGCTGCCTAGTGCCTAAAATGGTACTAGGGTATTACTTTCAAATCCCTGCCAAACTTTTCTGGTGGTATTTGTCTCTTTTTTTGTTTTTGTTTTCTAAGTCGGGGCTATCCTTCAGTTACGTGTATAGTGTAAACTGTCTGTAGAGTATTATTTCTGTATGGGCATAGTAGACTAAAATGCTGTGTGAAGGGTGGTATTAGCTGTCTTGTTCTTGTGAAAGACCAAGAATCATTTTCTTGAGGTTGAATGTGTGGTGATGTCATGGTGCAAATTTGCATGTGTGAAACATTCTTTCGAAATGGAAGGATGAGAGTTTTGAAATACTTGTTTAGGCTTATGTATGCAAATATTGAAGGTGTTGGTTGAAAATGTTTCTAGAATAGATTCTTAACTGATACTTGGAAGTATCAAAGTTGTCCTTTGAATGGCTTTCATATTGTGAATATGCTAGTAACACTGAATTTGTCTCTTCAGCTCGAGAAAAAGATCAAAGTCCAGTTTAGTAGCATAGATGGTTTTGTAGTACTGAGTATGCATTTAAGTGTGTCATATTCTGTGTGATGTGGATAGTTAGCGGCTTCTGGTGTGTTGGTCAGTGCTGGCATTGTGGTATTAGGGTCAACTAGACTCATGTGCAACTATCAGAAAAAATATCACTGGAGCCTTTTTGTTAACCTGAGAAGCTGAAATGCATCTGGCAAAATTCCGTGTGTAATAAGAAGACAAAGTTACAGTGTTGCTAATAAGCCATGCAGATCAAGATGGGCAGTGAATTCTTAATGTTTGGGGGGTTTTTTTTGTACTTTTTCTTTTTGAAGTTTAATTATACTAGATAGGTCCCACCCTGTGTGTGTCTCCGTTTAATGTTGCGTGAAACTAACCTTTCAATATGCTTACACCCCGCTGATTACTATGTTAAGTATTTCTCCCCCTTCAGGTGCTGTTTCGTAGTGGACAGCACAGCGCCATAGTCTAAAAGTGAAAAATGTCGTCTCTGTTAAGGTTATGTAGAGCTTTGTGTTCTTAAGAAGCATTAGTTCTTGAATTCCAGGTGGGCTTTATTTTATTTGTGGCTTGAATTTGAATTGAAGCATCTTCAATGCTTTCAAAATGCTTCAGGTTTTGTCCTAACCTAGCTCTATAGTAAGGAAAATTACTTATGCTTTTGCTTTTTTTCAGTGGGTAGTAATAAGCAGAGTGGCTTCATAAGCAAGTAGTAAAGCTATAGAAAGATGTAAAGGTTGTTCTGCTACAGTTAGTTTTTAATAACCTGACTGTCACAGCTCAAGTATAGATGTTTTCCTACCTTCATGTGGGCTTGCTGTTGGAGAATTAAATATGTTTTCTTAAAAACACCTTTCAGCAAGTTCAGTCAGTTGTGTTCTACATACAGTATGCTTTAATGAAATACTTGCTCTCAGATGAAATTATGTATCCACTAAAGTGTGTTAATTTGGAAAATGGATCAATTTCTCTGATACCATGGGTGATCTAGGGATACTTTTAGAAAAACAAAATCATATTATATGTCTTGGATGTTGTGGAAGAAAAAAAATTTGATACTTTTCTAAAATGTATTCACTGCCAACTGCTTCTTATCAGACTTGGTAGTGAGATCCACAGCAGCACTAGTATCAGTTTTACTTTTCTTTGTTATGTTCTGAGTTAACTTTCCTGAAGTCTCACTTGTTTGAACAATTCATACTGGTTTAAAATGTCGTAACTTCCTGAAGATACCTGGCAATTGGCTTGCTTTGTTCTATGCATGCCATAGCATTTGCTGCATTGGTATAACTATTTCTTTTTGTTCTGTAGTCAGTTTGTATGCTTTGGCTTAACTCAACCTGTAGGCTTTTATTCCTAGCACTTGAAAAAAATATGGATTTGTTTTCTTCTTTGTTTTTTGGCATTGGACATGGGATCAGTAATAATTCAGAGCAAGTAGAGGGGGTGGATACAGTTTTGCTTGTGTTTTTTTGTTTGTTAGGTGTTTTTTCTTTTTTACCTGCATATTATGCAAGTTATAATAGCAATATAAAAATTGGCTTTCTTGTTGATGTTTTTGAAGATCAGCTTGCAAACTTAGTAAGCCGGGCATTAAGTCTCCTGTGGAGCATTGCTGTTGAAGTCTATTTGCCGTCTTTCTGGAAATTCTTAAGATTGTCTTGATGCAATAGTAATTCTCACTGTAATCCTGCTAATGGCAGATCAGAAATGACATGTGCAGATAAGGGGAAGCATTAACTTGGTACAGTTTCACTGTGTTGCTTCCTGTTTGCTCCAGAGATGTTAATAGGATATGTTTCTATTAGCAAGCCCTTTCACATGAAATATCTTTCTTCCTGCTGCTGACTTGGAGGTGGCAGAAACTTTCCTATTTTTTGGGGTAGTTCTACTGAATGCCACTGTATGTCCTTTTCTGGTACAAATCAGGTTTCGGCTGCTGGATGATCTAGCACTGTGCAGATGTGCTTTTAGTTATCTTGAAATTGCCAAGCAACTGAAATCAGAACACTTAAATGAAATTATATGTAAAAATAGACATTTTTGTCAGTGCTTTTGTAGATTAGCATGGGTTTTGCAGCTCTTAAGTCTTAAATGGGCAACATGGGGTAACAGTTATTTTAGTTTGGGTCTCTGCTTCATTTCCTGCTGTTAGGACAGCATTGTGAAAATGTAGTTACAAAAGCTTGCTTGCTGTTCCTTCATGAGCATCAGTGTTTTATACAGGTATTTCAAAACATATCTCACTGCTGGTCTGGAAATGTTTCGTGTGTTGTGAGCTTATGAGCTTTCTGAGTAATTGTTAAGGGTGATGTATGCAGTTTTGTACTCTTGCTTCTGCACTGAAGCCTTTGGTGCGTACTGGTTTTAGTAGCAGGTAGTGACAGTGGGATGAGCTCACATCCAGCTTCCTTATGTGTTGGTTTGAGCTTATTAGTACTTTCTGTAACAAACATATTATCTTATTGTCGTTTTCTTACAATATCCATCTTAAAGGAAGAGGGGAGAGAGGGGGAAAGCACTTAGTACTGTGTCTGTTGCAGTAGAGTTAAGTTTATAAATGACAGAATGTAGCGTTAAATGAAATCTGCCTCTTTGCTTTTGAAGCCCTCTCTCTAGATACAGTAACTGCTGCTGTTGCTTTAAGAGCTCCAAGTCAAGCAAATGTTCTACCTGCCCGTCCTTTCCAGGATTTGGGAGTTGAGGTAAATGAGGCTGAAGGTAACCTTAGACCTAAGTGAGACCTAGGTAAGATCAACTCTTTTGGTCTGTCTTTAGAAATGATCTTCTACTATGGTGAAAAAAGAGAGGGTGGGGGGAAGGCATGAAGAGAAGAAAAGTCAAAAAGTCACCAAAGTGTTGAAATAGAATTCCTTCATATAGGAGGAAGGGGTCTGTGAGAGGGAAATGAATTAGTGGCTTGTCTAGAAAACAGCTTAAAGTTTTCCAGAGACAAGAAAGAAACTTGCTCTCAGCAACTGTATACCACAGCTCCTGACGCTTTTAGTACTGTTAACTGGATGACATCTTTGTTTAGTAGCGTGGACACTGGGGGGTCTTCACTGATCTTTCTATTATTACTCAGCAAGGCACTAGTATCAGCAGCACTGACATTGCTGGTTACTGTGACAAAAGAATACTTCTGTTTCTGGAGGAACACGAAAGCTGCTTTTCCCTAACTAAGACCACTTTCTGTAAAAGTTGTAACAAAAATATCATGACACGTCTCCTAAGAGCATATGTTACCCAAGATGTGAGCAGGGCATGTTTGTGTTGTTTGTTTCTTATCTGTACAGTTCAGTCTAGGCTTTTCATTTCCAGAAGTCCTTGTGCAGTTTGTTCTCATGTATGTCTGTTAGTGAGAGGTCAGAACATAGTGTTAGTGGACAGATGTCTTCAGTGTGATGGAGGATTCCTCTCCTAGAAACAACAGAAAAAACGAGGGAAGAGCTCACGAGAGCTCTTCTATTGCGAGACCTCACTTGGAGTATTGTGTGCAGTTCTGGTGTCCTCAACATAAAAAGGACATAAAAAGAGGAGGCCGATGAGGATGATCAGGGGCTGGAGCATCCCCTGTAAGAAGACAGACTGAGAAAGTTGGGGCTGTTTAGCCTGGAGAAGAGAAGGCTGCGTGGAGACCTCCTCGCAGCCTTCCAGTA